GTGGTGCCCGGTTGTCCAATAGCAAAAACCTCCCCAAAAAAAAAAAAAAAAAAAGAAAAGAAATCACACCCCAGGGGTGATGGCCATGCCACAATCCCTTCTTCTCCATCCTCCTCTTAGGATTTTGTGCAAGCATGCACATGTGCCCAGTGTGAGTTTTAAGCCGCTGGGTCCACAACTCAAACTGTGGTCAACTATGTAGGAGTCCAGCAACGTGACCATTACGCCATCTGCTGGTCTCAGGAGTCCAGCACCTTAACCACCACGCCACCCACTGGCCCCAAGAATATGTAACTTTTATAAAGGAGGCATAAAGAAAATATATATTTCTAAGTGTATTTCTTTCATGAGAGACAGACAGGCACCCCCGAGCAGAGTCTCACGCCGTAACCCATTCCCAATCTCAGCCAGCCTGGATCACGGGCGAATGCATTCACCTGGCATGCTCAGTGGACTGTCTCCCTTCAAAGCCAAGATCTTCTGTCCGTGTGAGTAGTAGTTTGGGGTTCCTCCACTCTTACCTCTTGCCAAGGACGTCTCAGAAAAACAGAATCTTCATATATAAAGTACGGTTCTGTGCGTCACTCCGTCCAACTCTGTGTCATCGGCCACACATTCTGTACAATATCACTCCTTTCTCATTGCCAGAGGCCACGTGCATACACCAGACAGAGGCAGGGAAAATGAGTGTCACGGTCATACCTCAGTCCCGTCTCTATTTCTCCATCCTGTCAGGATCTGGGGCCTGCACACACTCATGCCCAGTGTCTTTCTCAAGTCAGTGAACTGTGTCTGGAACCATCTCCACGACAGGCAAGGTCTGTTCTCTGTCTCCACAGTTTTGCCTTTTTAGGAATTTCATATAACCCGGATGACAGCAGATCCTCTTTTGAGGGTCAGCAGGTGGTGTGGTGCTTGAGGGCACTGGACTCCCACGTGGCCGACCACGGTTGGAATCCCAGACCTGGTGGCTTGCTTTCTCACTTTCCCTCTCTGTCTGTCTCTCTATCTCTCTCACTGTGTCCCTCTCTGTCAAATTAAAATGAGTAACTAAATAAAAAATAAAACAATTCTAAAAACCCCCAATATATTCTCTTCTGTGCCTGACTTCTTTCATTTAGCCCAGCGTGGTAGCATGTTTGAGAATTTATTCCCTTGTATCATTAAGATTCCATGGTATTGGGACCAGCAGTTAGCATAATGGCTATGTTGCTGGACTCCCACGTAATCGACCTTGGTTCGAGTCCCAGACCTGGTGGCTTAAATTCACGCAGGGCACGTGTGCGTGCATGCCCAAGATCCCGAGAGGAGAATGGAGGAGAAGGGATTGCGGCGTGGCCATCCCCCCTGGGGGGTGATTTCTCGCTTTCTATCTCTCTGTCTCTTTCTGTCCTTCTGGCGAGCGCACGCGCCCTATAGCAAAAACCTCTCCAAAAAAAGAAAAAAGAAAAAGATTCCATGGTATCAAGGTATGGTGTACTAGATTTGGCTTACCCCTGTACCAATTGATGGGCATGTGAACAGGTTTCAAGTTTTAACTATTAGAAATAATGTTGATGTGAACATGCTCGTACAATTCTGTGTGGTCATGTGTTTTCATTTCTCTTGGGTGGGTACCTGGAAGTGGAATTGTTTAGTCATGTGCTAATGTATGTAAAACTTTTTAAAAATTATTTAATTTTATTGTTTTTTTAAATCTGCAATAGGGCACTTGTGCTCAGTAGAGAGAGATAGAAAGTGAGAAAGCAAGCGGCCAGGTCCGTGACTCGCACCGCGGCTGGCCATGTGGAAGTCCAGTGCCTTTACCACCACGCCACCTGCCGGGACCTGTATGTATAACTAAAAAACTGCCAAACCATGGGAACCAGCAGTTAGTGTAATGGCTACGTCGCTGGATTCCTACGTAGTCTACTGCAGTGTGAGTCCCGGACCCGGTGGCTTAAAACTCACGCCGGGCGCGTGTACGTGCATGCCCAAGATCCCGAGAGGAGAATGGAGGAGAAGGGATTGCGGCATGGCCATCCCCCCTGGGGGGTGATTTCTCGCTTTCTGTCTCTATGTCTCTCTCTGTCTGGCAAGCGCACGCGCCCTATAGCGAAAACCTCTCAAAAAAAAAACCAAAAAAACAAAAAACTGCCAAACCATTTCAGAATATCTTTCTTGAGGCCAGTGAGTGATAAAGCAGAGGCAGACTTACACTGTGAGTGAGCAGAGCTGGCCCTACTCTGTGGTGCAGGCAGCAGGGCTCTGTGTGATGCTGGAGTCACAGGGAGGCCGGGATTTGGATCCTAGATCAATCTGAACACCCCAGGCACAGTGGTGCACACCTGTACCTGGGAGGCAGAGACGAGATTGCAGGACAGCCAGACTCTGTTGAAAATGCCTCTCTCGGGACCAGCAGTTAGCGTAATGGCTATGTCACTGGACTCCCACGTAGTCAACCGCAGTTCGAGTCCCGGACCCGGTGGCTTAAACTCACACCGGACTCGTGTGTGTGCGTGCCCAAGATCCCAAGAGGAGAATGGAGGAGAAGGGATTGCGGTGTGGCCATCCCCCCTGGGGGGTGATTTCTCGCTTTCTATCTCCCTGTCTCTCTGTCTGTCTGGTGAGCGCACGCACCCTATAGCAAAAACCTCTCCCCAAAAAAAGGAAAAGAAAAAGAAAATGCCTCTCTCTCCCAATGAGGAACAAATGAGGCCCAGTCAAGGTGGTACGGGTGGTAGGGGTAGTGCTGATGGTGGTAGCGTGATGCTGGAAGCTCCAAGAGCACGCCCTGAGTCCCCATGGACATGCCAGGCGTGTTCACGGGGGTGCAAAGCTCAGGGAGGGCCATGGCATGAAGACCTGTCCCGGGTGTCTCTCTCTTCGCTGTCTCACACACGCACGTTCTCTTACTCACGTTCTTTCCTTTTCATGAAGGAAATTACATATATATATATATATGTCATTACATATATATATATATATACACACACACACACACACACACACACACGTATTTACATATATATTTTTTAAAAATTATTGATTTAGTTCACTTCATTTGTTATTTCTTAATTTGACCAGAGAGAGAGAAAAGGAAAGCGAGAAAGCAAGCCGCCAGGACAAGACTCCAACCACTGTCGGCCATGTGGGAATCCAGTGCCTTTAACCACCATGCCACCTGTCAGCCCCTACATATATATTGAATTAGTTTCTAGAGTTATCGGCCCTCTCTGCTTTCTCTCTTTTTTTCTTCTCCACCTCAAAGACACTGAATCTGTCTTTCTCTATCTGTCTCTGTCACTCTGTCTCTCAACAAATCCAGTTGATTCAGAATGAAATTGTTTGGCATTCAGTTTGCATTTTTTCAAATTATTTTTTATTGCTTCCCCAACAAGCAATGTGTCTTTTGTCAACTGACACAGAGAGGAAATGATCTTGCGTGGTCTTTGTTTCTGCCCTTTATGAAAAAAAACTCATTTTCTGAAATCACCATCTTAGTCAGTGGGAGGGCCCTGTCTGGTCTGTGGTAGAACACACAGCCAGTGTGGACCCAAACCATGGGTCATGAGACGAGCTGGACCCACATCACAGGAGCAGTGGCTCAAGGTTAAGCCCGGCCCTGGCTCTCGGACTGACTGAGCAATCTAGCCTTTGCCCTGCACCCCTCTGGCCCTGGGCTCTGTTAAAACCAGACACCCAGCAGCTCAGTTGTCTGCAAATTCCCAGAGAAGAGT